AGGGTTTCACCATTTAAGCCCCAATGTGTACCCAGATACCATGTCCCTCCAAATTCTCTACTTTTAAAATGTAAGTGAAGAGCCAGGCTTTCTTCTTCACAAAGTCCTGTGCTGGGCAGTGATCTGGGCTGGGATTTGGCACAACCACTCTGTGCCCTGGCCTTCTGCCCAGCCTATTGATTTAGCTCTTTAAATTGCATCATTTAAAGCCACAAATGTCATAGACCCCATTAGACAAATTCCTTTGGCTAGCAGCAAAGACAAGACGGAACATGATAAGCCCCCTGAGGCAGCCTTTCAGACCATTCCCAAGCTTCCATGTTTGGGGAGCAGCATCAGAAGTGGGGTTCACTTGTAAATTAGCATTAAGAGCTGGATGGTTGCATTTTATTCAGTTAAGAATGTATTTCAAGACCAGTGCATAACGATGGGAAAGCCAACCTCATCTCTTGACTAACGCTGACTGTAAATGAGTGCAGTCTGTCAAATATAAAGGTAAAAGGGTTATGGGAATTTACCTTCCTAATAATACATCCTCAAGTGATGCCAGAATCTCCATCATTACTTATTCTCAGACTAACAGCAAAGTAGCACTAACCACAAGCATATGGAGAAAGGAATGTTCTCAGGGTCTGCAGTAAGACATAGCTAAAGGTTTAAGTGAGGTTCAAGTGGCCCCAGCTGACAGGAACAGACGGAAGGGCACTAAGCAAGGCATTTGATGTCTATGTAAGTCCACATTTTGACAAGATAAGGAACTCATGTTACATCATTGTCAATATGCAGTGTGGAGGTAGGCTTGAGTACTTAAGTGATTCCCATATCAGGCCCTGTTTCTCCCTCTATCACATCCTTCCATTCCTTCTAGACACTTCCTTACTCCCAGGGCCATAGCATCTTTCCAAATCAAGTAACCCACATAGGGGTCACTAGCTATTAGTGGGGTGATTTATTTTTCTTTCCAGAAATGCAGTGCTTGAAAGCAAAGAAGTGACTTGATAGTAAAACCTTAGGCAAACCTCTGGAGGAGATATTTTTCGCTACAGGGGAATACTATGAGGCTTTTCATAACACAGCCCACTAGAAATGCAATAGAACAGATTAATTTCAAATGCAGGAGATGAAAAGAGAAACTAGACTCCAAAACGACTATATATCATCCAATTATACTTACTGCAAGCCTCAAATTACGGTGATTTTACTGTCCTCACTCTTCACTACTATAACCCACGCATCTGGCACACAGTGAGAGTTCAATGAATGGTACTACTTGGTGCCTTCGTTATTATTACTATTAGAAGCTTTAGTGGTAATAGTGCCACTCCAGTTCCTGGCACGGTGCCTAACACATATTAAGTAGTCAAAACTATAATAATTATTTTATTGCACCAGTTTCTGGCACAGTGCCTGGCACGTGATAGGTCACTAATTGAGTTTATTCTTTCATTCTAACCTTTTCCACACAGCTGTGCCTTGCTAAAGTGATCACAGATTATCCTGTGGCAATAGTGACACCTTCTGAAAAAACATCCAGCCTTTTTGTCCAGAGCCTCTTAGGGGGCAAATGGGCAGGACACGTTCAAGATAGTTTTTCAGATGGAGAAGCTAAGATTATGAACTACTGCCATGGAATTTTAACTTGCCTATAATACCTATACCCTACTATGGCCCAAAAAACATGGCCCCCACCACTGTCTCCCTACTAGGCCATGATCATACTGCCTCTGTTCTTCTATGTGGCAGTGCCTAAATACCTTTATATTTTCACACTTAAATTCATCCTTCAATATTGGTTTAAAACCTCCTCTTCCATGAAACCTTCGCTGAGGTCTCCAGCCCTCACTGATTCCTTCCTGAAACCCTTAAGCATCAAATCAGTACCATATAACTTAACACTTCTTTCCGTGACCATGGCCACTCTCCTTGTTAGCTATTATTTGTTCACTAAACATCCATTTATTGAGCACATGTCATGTTGCAGGCACTATGTGAGTTGAGGGAAGGCAGGAATCACAGCAACCCAGCCCTAGTGGCAGGACAAAAAATAAGCCGTTTGGGTAATGTTAGAGAAAAGTAACCTAAGTGCCAGTGGAGAACTCAGAGGAACACTGGGCTACTTTCTGAGGCTATTGGGGGAAAGCTTCAGAGAAAAGGGAAGTTTATGAACAAGTTGCTAAAGACAAGAGTTGGTTAAGGGGAGAGAGTGGGGGGAAGTCATATGCAAAGCATCATCATTAAAGAGCAACTCAGAGAACATGGCTCAATATGTCTAGAATTTAGGATGCGTTAAAGAGAAAGGAGAGAATATTTTGAAAGGTTTACTAGTGTATTGATAACCAACTAACACATATAAAGCTTCTGGGGTGTGCCAGGAACTTGGCTAGGTGCAGGTGCTAGAAGAAAAAACAGGACAGGACAGATGTGATCCCTGAACTTGAACTTTTAAAAAAAAAAAAAAGATTTATTTACTTATTCATACAGAACTGGGGTACAGGCCAGAGATGCGGAGGGTGAGAAGCTTCACCAGGAACAGAGTGGGGAGCAGAACAGGCAGATCGACGAAGTACACTGCTGAGGGGAGCAGCAGGCAGGTCAGGAGAGGTCTGCCTTGCCATGTGGTCACTTCTGTGGCAGGCGGAAATCGAACTCATGCGGAAGTGGCTTAAGCTTTTTAGTGCATTGCTTTAACCCGCTGCGCCACCAGGGAGGGCCCCCTGAACTTGAACTTTAAAGGCTAAATGGACCAGAGAGAATGACTACCATGTACGACATAGAAATGTGTGACTACAAATCGTGATAAACATTAAGAAGGAAGGAAAAAAGAGAGTACAAAGCCAAGAACACGAAGGTGACTTGCAAGGGCTGCTCTGAGGAGGTAACTTTTTTTTTTTTTTGAGGGTTAAAAAATGAAGAGCTAGAGAAAAGGTTCCAGGCAGAGATTAGAAGTCTTGAGATGAAAAAAAAAAAAAATACTTGGCACATTGCAAGAATTGATAAAAGCTCCACATGGCTGAAAAACAGTGGATGAAGGTGAGAGTGACTTCAGATGAGGTTGGAGAGGTAAACATAAATCAAGAACAGTATAGCTCTGGAAAAGGAGTGTTGATTTCATCACAAAAGCAGCACAAAACTAACCAAGGAGGAGTGAAATAGGACGAGATTTGTGTTTCACAGGATAAATTGAGGCTGGTATGGAAGATTATCTGGAAGGGGTGAAAATAGTCTGGATGATCAGTTTTTAGGCTGTGGAATGGGCCAAGTGAGGGACGGTGAGGGTGGAGACCTGTTCTTTGATGCCCACCAAATGTGACTAGCAGAGTACGAGGTACATGGAGACTTCCACGGTGCTTGTATTGATTAAATAAGTAGAAACTGAATTTGGGTTGTTGTGTCTCTCCTCAGGAGGTCACTGTCTTTTCTTCCTCCTCTCTTTAGGTTTAACTGAAGATTGGGCGTGGGGGCGGGGGGGTAGGGCAGTCAACAATTAGTAGTATTAAAGTCATTTGTTGTTTAGTGACAAACGTTTCCTCTAAGTGCTGCCTTCCTTTAACCACTGCTGAGTTACTTGACAGTCACACAGGAAAACATCAGTGTTTCTGTAGACAGCCAAACAGCACCGTGATCTCTTGAGATTTGATACAGAGAGCAATGTATTATTTGGGGCTGTTCAGGGTGAGATGCTACATTCACCTTCAAATACTAACTTCCCAGAAGATCACAAGCATATGAATTGCAAATACCACTTGGTATCATATATATATATGTATATCTCCCTCTGCCAAAGCCGGGTGTAATTAACTGGAAGTGAGGTAAATGTTTATAGTAGCGTCATGCCTTCATTTTTTTTTCTTACATCCAGGAGAGAAGAAAAGAGACTTTATCATATTTCTATTTCCTTTTGTTGCCAAAACAGCTTGGTAATGAAAGACAGAAGATGGATCCATCCAAATTCAGCCTTCAGAGGGTGCTAGGGATCTCAGGGGTGGAAGGGAAAGGGGTGCAATCTCCCTGGGGAGGATAAATCCCCTTGTATGACAGGGGTAGTACCCGGAGTCAATAAAGAATGTGCATCAATTTTATCTGTAAACTGTGGGGCAAGAACCCAACACCCTGATTCATTCTATGCAATGGAAAGCAAAGACTGTCATTGTCGCTGTTGTTCTCCCACTCTCTCAGAGCAAGGTTAAACACATTGTTGGAACTCAATGAGAGATTCTCACTCTAATATCAGTTCTATTAAATGTAATCTGGCTTTAGATCTGTTTCACATAAAATAGACCATTCACTTCTCAGAATTAAATCAAATAGATTTTCTGATCTGTCAGTTCCTTGGTTTGGAATGGTTCATATTTGCCTTTGCAGGTGACTTTGGCCCAGTGGAGGAAATGCTATGACCTCAGTAAGCAGTGGCAAGAAGAAGGGTTTCATTTGGCACAAAAACAGGATTTTATTCCAGGACTTGCATCTGGGTCAGCAGCAAATGTAATCCTGAAAATCAGCACAGGCTCATAGGTCCAGGCCTTAAAGGAAAATGACCAAGGATGATTTCCAACTCTGCAGCACCAATCAGAATTTTTATCCCAAGTATTTTCAGGCCTCAGAATCAAAGGAAGGAACTAGATTGTTCCAAGTATCAGTAGGGTTAGCCTGTGCCTGTTGCTTTGATAACATATCACTTCATTTTACCCTCGTAATAGCTTTATGAAATAGGAGTTATTATTTAGCACAGGGTCTGGTACCAAAGATCCACCAAATATCTGCTAACAATATTATTAATTTCAATAATCTCAATAATGTTTGGAGTACAGAGTGCTTGAATCACTTATGCAAGTTCACAGAACTAGTAAAGCAGGACCTGAACGCAGGTCCCTCTGACAAAGAAGCTTGAGCTTTTTTCTGCTGTATCCCCTGCAAGCGAGAAAGACTGTAGTATTATAACTGGCCAATTGAGACCTTCAGGTATCTAAGAATATCTTTGGTTTCCCTCTCTCCTCACTCAGGTTTCCAAATTGCTATGAATAATGGCCCAGCTGTATTACAAAAAGGTCAACTATTCACCATACAGAGACCGCATCCCCCTGCAAATAGTGAGGGCCGAGACAGAGCTCTCTGCAGAGGAGAAGGCCTTCCTTAATGCCGTGGAGAAAGGGGACTATGCCACTGTAAAGCAGGCCCTCCAGGAGGCTGAGATTTACTACAATGTCAACATCAACTGCATGGACCCTTTGGGCCGGAGCGCCCTGCTCATTGCTATTGAGAATGAGAACTTGGAGATCATGGAGCTACTGCTGAACCACAGCGTGTACGTAGGGGATGCACTGCTTTATGCCATCCGCAAGGAAGTAGTGGGTGCTGTGGAGCTGCTGCTCAGCTATAGGCGGCCCAGTGGAGAGAAGCAGGTAAGAGAAATCCCTACAGGCTGGGAAATAGCAAGGGGAAACAGGGCACCGAAGGCAGAAGTCTTGAAACTATGGAAATCTAGGTAGGCTGAAGTTCTGAAACGCTACCACAGCCACCTCTGCTCTCAGAAATATCATGGGTGGTCAGTGATCTCAGTGGTATACCAGAGCTGCATGGCTCATGCTGAATTATACTCACTTGTCTTTATTAGCATTTGCTCATCGATATTGAATTCTTTACCATCCAAAGTGTGATCTCTGTTCCCAGAAGAGTCACATTCTTTGGGTACTCCGTATACCCTCTTTTTTCATTTTGTTCCTCTAATCAAAGATTACCTTCTAGAAAAGGAGAAACCAAACACAGTCCTGGACCTTTTCCTTCTCACCAGCCACTATTATGGAGCTTGGACGGGCTACCTGTATACTTGAGTGCATGGTGCAGATGTAGACAGATAGAGGGAGTCGCATGTTTTCCTAGTACCTGTCATGTAACTGCATTCCATCTCCAGGTGTTTGGCTTTTGCCTCTAGCTCTCCTATCCTCCAAAGTACCTAGGTATAATACTCTAGAGTCATTTTTTATTTATCCCTTACCTCTATGTCCAAGCCCCAACTCCTATGATTTCTTCCTTCAACATATATTTGACATCTTTGCTCTCCATTTCCCAACACTATGCCTCTGTTCACATCATCTCTCTCAAAACATCAAAGCCAGTATAACTATGCCAGCCTATTTTTCCTAAAATTCGTAACAGTCCTGTCATTCCTGCTCATTCTTTCAGTAACTACACTGTTTTCTTGTTCATTAGAAGAGAAATCAAATGGGAGAAAGTCTGGCACACAATACACTTCATTAATGGTCTTTTCCAAACCTGTCTTCCCCAGGCCCTTCGAAAATTCCTCAATTCAGACATGTATATCCACTGCCTCTCCTCTTTTAGAGAACAGCTTTGGATACACAGTAGGGACAAAGAAAATGCAGTCATCAAACATGTAATACCTCAATATGTTCCCCAAAAGCACAGATAGTACAAAGCTAAAACAAATTGCAAAGTGTTTAGAAAACTTTGATAATGAAAACACTCAGCAACAAATATGAGATGTGGCCAAAGCTGGGTTTAAAAGGATTTTATAAGTTTACTATTTGAGTATTTAAACAAAAATTAATGAAAATAAGCAAAGCAAAAACTCATGGACTAAGAATCAGAATTGACAGAACAGAATGCAAGACACAAGGTTGCGTTCCATGAGTAATGGGCCTGAGTACACTCCAACACCCAAAAGCATTTAACAATGCCAAGAGTGAAGGAACTTTTTTTTTCTTTTTTTTAGTGCTATATCCCAGAACTAGGAAAATCAATATGTAGATACTCAGTAAATATTCATTTTATCAAGGGTACATAAGCCACCTGTACTATGATAAGTTTTTGCCCAAGTTACCTTATTTAATTTTCCCAGCAGCTTTGTTAGGCAGACACTATCATTATTGTTCACATTCTACTCGTGGGGAGAAAAAAAACTCACAGGATACTTCAATCATCCCATACCTAGGGCTCAAACTCAGGCAACTTAGCTCCTCCCAAACTGACTCTCTCTCTCTCTCTCTCTCTCTCTCTCTGAATAATGTCACCATTGCTCTACCCTTCACATGACACAAGTCACACACCACACTATACTATTGGTCAGCCTATTTATAGTATTTATACTATTTGTATAAACCTCTGGTCTGTGTAACTAAATTGTTTCTCAAATGTGATGCATAATCGAATGCCCAACTGCAGGTTTCCTGCATCTGTACCCAACAAAGTGCCTAGCCTAACATATAATGGGCAATGTATGAACATATAATGCTGATTAACATGAAGGAGTTAAGTGTATCTTCTAGAAAAGCACCTGGCCAGCTGATTGAGCAAGACCCATACTTGGTGTCATTCAGTTTCATAACTGTTTTTGAGAAAGAAAAGAACACATCGAAGTATCAAAGGATCTAGCAATACCATCCCTATCTGACTATTGAAAATTGATCATGTCCTTATTTGATGATCCCCCATTTTCCCATCTTTTCTAGTGCTCTGAAAAAAATCTGATGAAGAAAGGTACAAGGCAAACTTTTTCTAAAGTCCCATTTAAGGCATGCCTTCCCCTGCTGGAAAGTAGTGCTGAACTCTTAAGAATGAACCACTAATGGTTATGTCAGGCATATGGTAAACCAGAGTGAAGCTATTTGGGACAGGCTGTTTTTATCAAGATTCCTTCATACACACATTGCATTTCAGACAATATAAAACCTCCTTTGTCCATACTTGAATATCACACCATAGGTACAATCCCACAAAGCTACCAGTTCCATAGCCAGGTCTCTCAATCCTTACCATCAGCCTCTGCTAACATTCATTTTCTTCCATTTCTCTGACAAGCACTGCAATAAGTCACACACTATAACAACGGGCTGCCATAGTAATGGACCTTTGCCTTTCTGCAAGATAAAAACAAATTTGTTTACCTGGGAATAATCAGGGATGTGAACAAACACAGGCCTCTTGGAGAACCTTGAGTCCAGCTGAGTCAGCTATTAGGAAGGTTCTCCTCCCACACAGAGAATCCAAACAACTGTCCTTTTTCATGGAATCTTTCCAGTCTCTCCATGGGATTGAGCACAGTTGACCTCCATCAATCTTGAGTGGATAAACTAGTGTCCTTCTTGACTTCACTGACCATAAAACATGGCCTCAGGCTGCAGTAATACTCAGCTTCTCTGCTCCACCCTTCCCTCAGCCCATTGTGCTCCTCTCACTCTTCCACTCTATTAAAACTGCTCTTAGGTAAAGACTGGAAGCTGGACAAAATGGATGGCATCGGCTTCAAGTATCAACACTCACAAGGAAACTTGCATTTTTCATAAAGACTAAGTCTTGATGCTTGATCAAGTAGGACTTCCTGAACACATTATAAGTACAAGTCTTTGTATCTGTGGTGTTACTCTTTTGCCTTCTTGTATGTGTAATTCTGTGGTTTTCTTACTGCTCTAGAAATCTGACTATCTTAGCAGTGTCCAACTCCTAACCACAGTGACCTGTTTTGTTGACCTAGGGGACATGTGATTCCTTGGGGGGTAAAGAATTACAAATTATACTCAGAATTCAAAAGTTTGGAACTACAGAAGGTCTAATGCCAACCAATTTCTTGTCTATCAAGCTCTCTTCAGTCTTCTGACTTTGGGGGCCACTTAAGGAACATTAGCAGCAAAAAAAAAGCAAATCCAACAGCAATCCACAGAGGACACTTGTATCTGGGTATGCTCAAAGAGAGTTCAAAGATCAGCCTCTGTACATATCAAGAACTAGTCAAAATGAAGATTTCTATGACTTATAGCATGCCTACAGAAACATAACCTTGGAGTTTGGGCCAGGAATATGCAGACCTCTCAAAACGAGGTCTATGCCTCTATCTGTATTTGATTTCTAGGCATACCATAACAAATAACCACAAACTAGGTGGCTGAAAACAAAACGAAATGTATTCTCTCAGCGTTCAGTAGTCCAGAAGTCTAAAATAAAGGAGTCAGTGGGCTGGTTCCTTCAAAGACATAATCTGTTCCTTGCCTGGGCTCTTTGCTTCACTCCAGTCTCAGTCATCGTAGAGTTCTCTCTTTTCTTTGTATCTGTGTCCTAATGTCCCTTTTCTGTATCTTGTAAAGAAATCAGTCATTTGATTTAAGGTCCATCCTAATCCAGAATGACATCATTGTAACTTGATTATATCTACAAAGACTCTTTACTCCAAATGAGGTCATATTCACAGGTACTGGTGGTTAAGGTTTGAACATAACTTTTGGGGGAAACAATTCCACCCCATCACATCCTCTATAAGAAATGCCAGTCTAGATTAGTGGATTTCAAACATTTTCAACAGCAGAGCCTTTCACTAAATGAAATACTGCCTAAAAGTAAAGCAAACCCAAGCAGAGATGCCTTGGTTTGGTTACAGGTCATATCCTAGAGGTCCACTTGTTTGCATGCATGCATACACACACAAACTCCCATATCTCCCTGGCCACTGAGGAACAAGTATAGCTGGGAAAAATGCTGGTGAAAAAGTGTGACAGGCTAATTCAGAGTTTGATGTATTAGCCAAAGCCTAGCTAACAAGGTGACCTTGGGCAAGTTACAAAGTTGTTCTACATGTCCAGTTACTGAATGACCTTACAGCTCAGTTTCCTCATCTACAAAATGAAGCTAACAATACCTGCCCCTTCCTAATCTAGAGGAATGTCATAAAGAAGAAATAAGATAAGGATGTATCCAAAGTCTTTTGAGAAAAATAAAGTTTTAAAAAAACTTTTGGACAGAGGCCACTATTATTTTCAGCTTAATTTCATTAGTTTCACATAGTCTGCCATATTGTTTGTGGAGAGACCAGCTGGCAAGTGGCACTTACCAAAAGGCACTACCAGTACAGTGAGAGGGCGAGGCTGGTGAGGGAGCTGGTTCACAGCTCCTTCTGACTGGCCTTGAAGGCAGTCATCTCCCTTCTGCTGGCAGACAAGCTGCATGACTTCAAAGGCATTATTCCATGCTCTCTAAGCTCTAAAAATCTGAGCAACAGGGTGGTAAAGTGTTGACCTCTGTATCAACAGACCACCCAAGTAATTTTCTTCCTTGGTCACTTGCGTCAATGCAGGCAGGCGGAAAGAGGCTAAGCCAACCTTCTCCCCATGGCCCACGCCTCTGGTCTCTGCCATAATTACTCATTTGTCTGTGGCAGATGGCTCCAAATTAAAATTGGTCTCACAGATGAGCTAGCGAGATTAAGCCTCAACAACACTGATAACTGTTTGTGTTGAAACTGTAGAAAATTAACAACAAGAAACTCCATTTATTCTTTCTAGTATCTGACCCTTAGCCTTAGCAAGAAATTGCACAGTGTGGAGAGGGACAGTGAGGAACCAAGCAACTAGGAGTAGTTAGAAAGCAGGTTTTGTAACCACTCACTTATTAGATG